ATGTGTTAGGTTGCTCGAGGGAATCGACTACAAGAGAGAACGCGCGAGAGCGTGCCACGTCATGCGTTTTAAAACGGCGAAGCCCATCTAAGCAACTTTTCTTGGACCATATGGCCGATTTAGACGCCAAGCGACATACTCTACTATAATAGTACGAGGAGTTAGCTCGTTGGGTCTGTGCCTCTGCTCTCGTGCGTGCCCTGTCTCTGATTTTCCACGGTACGTGAAGATTGGATGCTTCGTGAGCCGGTAGACAACGTACACGCAACACCAAATGCTGCGAGCTAATGCTGCGTTAAATTATTTCCTTGGCCACGTCAAAGCGCAGGTTGGAGACGTTGAGTGTCTTGACCGGTGCACTCAAACACGCGGCCAAATGAAGTTATCAATCTTGAGCTTGTGAAACTCACGTAGGTGGCAGCCTGCCCAAAAGACGAAATCGCGCTCTCAAATGCAAATCCAACGCATAGTCGGTCACACCCGCCCGCTTGCACGCATCTCCACGATGAAATAGGCGGTTTCGGGACACAACAACGGGAACTAGCAACGAGTGCAGCAGTAAAATGCAACCAAGAGGAGTTTATGGTGGAGATTCCCACCGACTGCGACATGGTGGGCGGGATGTTTGACGGACCGAGGAACGTGCGTACCGGTCTACCGTAAACAATAGGGCCGATAGAGATTGCAGTGAACCTCGTATAAAAAGCTGCGAGCCATTCGGTTGATCACATCAAGCGTCCAGCATGCACACAGCATTTCTTCAGGTGCGCAACCCTTTTCCTCTGGTTTGCGTCGTAGGTGTGCCCAGCATCCTCATCGACGTTCCCAGCGAAGCACTTCGTGGAGCGATGAGCGTTCTATTCGACTCGCCTCAGAAGCTGCCTCAGACCATCCGTAACGGGGTTGATGCTGTCGTACGGGTCTCAGATTCGTTATGTATCGTGAACGAATCTGAAGACAAACAGATTCGACAGCCGTACCACGCCGGCATCATCGGTGCCAGCTGCCTCGAGACCTGGCCTCGCACAGTGGGAGCTACAGTGGGATCTCCCTCCAGCTTGGTCGTGGGTGCGTGACTGTAGTCGACGCTCGGATCGCGCGGTGCGCAAATCCAAACTCCAAACTAGCTAAGCTTATAAATAATGGACGCAATAAAAGATTTAGAGCCAGGGTGGGAAGATAACCCAACCCTCACAGCGTGCGATTTCCTTTGGGTTTCAGTCTGCCGGCGAGCTCTGCCACACTGCTGATGGCAAACGGAGGGCAACCGGTCGTTGAAAAAGGAATCTGTTTCGATGGAAAGTGAGTCGACAGAAATATAAATTACATCTACATGCGCTGGTGAGAAGCCCCTTGGATGACCAATTATTGAGCACAATATTGCTGCTTTGGAGAGGCGTCTCGATGAGGGCTTGAATAAACTTGTTGAGCTACATGCGTGACAAGTGCGCACGTTCTCAGCAATAGCGCCGCTGAGGCCTCGTGGTCCGCGCCTCGTACACCTCAACACCGTCACTATCTTCTTTCCGGCTCACGTGGCGGCACACATGAACACCAACAAGTGACGTTGCAAAACCGCCACAGAGGTTCCGTAAGTTGCATACTTAGGGCGCACGAAAGCATTGGCCCAGCGCAGCCTGAAGTTTAATGTACATTTGCTATATATTGACGATGATTGTCGGTGAGGTGAGCGAGAAGAGATGACGTGCATGGGGTTTTATCTAATCACGCGCGCCGTGTCTACTGTCAGTGCCTCGTGTTCATCTCTGTACAGCCGATCTATGTGTTGAAATAGCCTGGCGTTTTTATCGCAGCGTACAATGCCGCGCCTTGGATTCCTCTCGTAATGGGACCGCGGCTTGCCGTGCCATATGGTGGCCGCCGCACGCCGGCCGCTCATTTCCGTCGACGTTTGGTTACGATGACACATGCAGGACAAAAACTAACGAAATCACGGCCGAGAGAGTTGGACGTGGCATTGGTTGACGTGAAGATTCCAATGCTCTACCGTTGGAATCTTTGTACATGGACCCTTGAATCTGCAGCCCACTGCTCCATGGACGACGCGGCTAAGACGTAGCACACCAGCCAAAGGCGCGCGATAACCCTCTCCTCACTTTTCAATTTCACTCGATCATGTCGACACCGATCGAGCCCGCGCAGAACCGCCGCGAGGTGTTTGCCAACCTCGATCAGGCCACGTTCTCCAAGGCGCATCTCCGTGCGATGCTTGTCGCTGGCTCTGGTTTCCTCGTCGACTCGTACGACAACTTTGTCATTGGCCTCATTGTGCCCATGATTGCGTGGGAGTACTACCACCAAGGCAGTCTTCCGTCGTCCCGCGCCGATGGCTGGGTCAAGGCCGCGTCGTCGTGGGGTAACGCGGTCGGTCAGCTCTCGTTCGCCGTCCTCGGCGATATCCTCGGCCGCAAGAAGGTGTACGGCATTGAGCTCATCATCTTGATTTTTGGTGCGCTTCTCTGCGCGCTCGCTGTCTGGCCCATCAACGGCGAGGCCGACAACGTCCTCATCATGCTTGCCGTCTGGCGCTTCATCTTGGGTATCGGCGTCGGCGGTGACTACCCCGTCTCGGCCGTCATCACGAGTGAGTTTGCGTCCAGCAGCCGCCGCGGTCAGTTCATCGCTGCCGTCTTTGCGATGCAGGGTTTCGGTATCATTCTCGGCGCCGGCATGGCCGTGCTCGTCCTCGCCGTTTTCAAGACCAGCATCGTCGATGATGGCGCTGTCAACCTCGGCTACTGCTGGCGCATTCTGGCCGGTTTCGGTGCGATTCCCGCTTTGGCTGCTGTCTACTGGCGCCTCCGCATCCCCGAGACGCCGCGCTTCACCGTCGACGTCCTCGGTGACGCCGAGCAGGGTGTCCGCAACGCCAACCAGTTCTTGGACGGTACGAAGCACGACGACAACGGCACGGTGCCCAAGCCCAACACGGCCAAGTCGTTCCGCGAAGCGTTCACGTCGTACTTTTGCCAGTGGAAGAACGCCAAGGTGCTCATCGGTTGCGCGGCTTGTTGGTTCTTCCTCGACATTGGCTACTACGGCACGTCGCTCAACACGCCGGTGGTGCTTGGCTTCATCGGCTACGGCAAGCCGACGACCAAGGGCAACCAAAAGATCTTTGACGATTTGTGGAACCGCGCTGTCGGTACGGTCTTGATCAACTTGGCCGGCACGGTGCCCGGCTACTGGTTCACGGTCTTCTTTGTCGAAAAGTGGGGTCGCAAGCCGATCCAATACATGGGTTTCACCATGCTCACGCTGCTCTTCCTCTCGCTTGCCGTCTTCTTTGACGATCTCAAGGAGAGCTACAACACCCTCTTCGTTGTCATCTACTCGTTCGCGCAGTTCTTCTTCAACTTTGGCCCCAACACGACGACGTTCATCATCCCTGCCGAAGTGTTCCCGACCGCCGTGCGCTCGACGGGTCACGGTATCTCGGCCGCCTCGGGCAAGGCTGGTGCGATCCTTGCAGCGCAGTGCTTTGCAGTTGTCGCCAAGACGTGGGGCTTTGACCGTGTGCTCTACATCTTCTCGGCGTGCTGCTTTATGGGTCTTCTCTTCTCGTTCTGGGTGCCGGAGACCAAGGGCCTCACGCTCGAAGAGCTCTCGGGCGAAGACGCCGACTACAACGAGTCCAAGACGCCTTTCCCCAAGGAAGCCGGTATGTAGAAGAGACTTCGTATCCCATTGTGCTGCATTGTATTTCGTAACTTTAATCCATACACTGTGTCATGATGGAAAACAGTGTCTTGCAGTGAACACTGTCTGCGTCGATGCTACACCATCACGACAACTGCCTCGTGGCGCTTGGCCACGACGTCCGTCTGCGAATAGGGTGCTCTGCACTACGCACTGGGTTACTAAAATGGTCGTAGAGTACATAAATCATGTACACTTGACAATACATAGTTCTCCTCGCTACATTATTCGCCGAGGACGACCGGACTAGGCCATGTTGTCGTCGTGGTAGTACGGGTGTGGCGACGCGTCCGTGTTGTTGCGGGGCGACTCGACACTCGGCCCGTCGTCGTCATCCTTGGGCGCTTCAATGGGCCGCAGACAGCAGAGACACAGGCAGATGGTCAGCAGCACGGCGCCCGCCTACGAGACATTTGCATGAGTCTCTAGTCTCACCATTCGAGTCTTACAACAAGGAACCACGGTAAGAGCACGTAGAGCGAGGTCTCGAAGGACATTTCGAGGCGCGCAGCGAGGAGCACAAAAGGGCTCACGAGCGCGGCGAGTCCGACAAGCAAGCACGCATGCATGCCATAGGACGGCGTGTGTGCGTCGTCGTCGCCAGCTGGCGGACGAATGGTCATTGCGCGCAGGAGTGGCGCGGCCAAAAGCGCCAGAAGGAGCCACACCGGGAGGAAGACGAGCCACCACGAAGCGGCAAGGACCTTGTCGATGCGGAGCGCAACGAGGATCTCAAACGAGAGCGAGAGCACGCTCACGAGACACGACCGTACAATCTCACGAACGAGGAAATGCACGGCCGCATCCGGCTTGGCGCGGAAGGCATCGTAGACGCGGTAAGCCACCAGCAGCTTCTCGCTCAAGTACAAGCCTTCGAGTGCAAAGAGCGGTGCCAAAACGACAGCGCAACTCCAAGTGACCGAGCCCTGGAGCTTCATTGCGACAAAGATCTGCGTCAAGACAAACAGTAGAATGTGCAGCACCACCGCGCTACAGACAGCAACGCTTGGCACAGAGATGCATGATGTGCTGCTCGTACCCTTTGGCAAGGAACCGCGTGGTGCGCGACGGACGGTCGGACGCGTCGACGTCGTCGGTGGCATCGCCGGCCGCGATGGAGCAGCCCGTCCAGCACAGGTACATCGCGTCGAGGAGCCACATGGGCGCAAACACGTTGATCCAGGACCAGTCGACGTCGTCGTCGGCGCGGAGGCACCAAAAGACTAGCATCGCGCGTTAGAATATATCTGTATCGTTGCAACGTACTGGGCACCAAGAGGGCGAGGCCAAGTCCGAGAAGCACGGCCATGAAGATCATGGCCTTGGCGCAGGCGCTCATGGCCGCGACGGCGCCGACAGCCGCGGTGACCACGTCGTCGAATCGCATTTCGCCAAAGTCGTTCATGACGCGGAGGCCGTCTTCGCCCATCGTGTCGTAGATCTCGCGCTGCTTTGGGTCGCTCAAGACGTCGTAGGCTGCCTTCATGGCCGTGAACTCGTCCTGCGCCTCGGGCGTGTTGCCGCGCTTGTCGGGATGGAGCTGCAGCGCCTTGCGGCGGTAGGCCTTCTTGAGGTCCTCGGCGGAAGCGTCCACGGCGACGCCCATGAGCTCATAGTACCGCGTGTGCTTGACCTTGCTGCTGCTTGCCGCCGTCATCTTGGACTCTGCGCCGCAACTCGCCCGATGGATACAGGTATACGGACGAAAAAGACCGAGATATATTTTTATTCTGTCTAATCTTGATATTTGTAGATACAATAAATATTTGCATCAAAATGACACGGTTTCCACGTCGAGCGCGGCCTTTTTAAACGCATATTTAATTCCGCATACAAAGACCAAGTGCGCGGCGCGAATTATTACGCCGAGTTGACAGCGCCGGGTCCATACTAGGCCGTCAATTCAGCCCGACTGTGGGCGCTTCAACGGCCAACGGCAAACTGCCGCCTTGACGCGAGTAGCTTGAGTCGCCCGGAAGCGGATTATGCAAGTCTTGGTGACACGGGAACGGGTCAAGTGTAGGTTCCAGAGGCCGACGAAGGTGCGTAATGGGAGGTTCCAGCTCGAACAAATAGTAAAAAGGCGCATGTCCAAAGCTCACATCAAAGGAGTAGACCAGTAGTACCTTATACTGTGTGAAAGCAATTCCTTGGATTATCGGTAGGTGACAGCTTAATGCGGGATGTACTCGTACGGATACGGTGTATAATTCGCTTATAAAAGACAAAGCAAGCTTGGACCGCTGTTTGCTGACGCCGGCAGGGGTATGGTTGACACGCTGGACACCAGATGGATGGTGTGGACAGCATTTAGTCGCATTGCAATACGTTGGACGAAAAGCATCGCGATCGCCTTGCCCATTCCGTACGGCGCCACGCCGCGGGGTAAGTGCTTATGTAAGCGAATTAATTGCGACACGCCGCCGGAATTCGCCAGACGATTGCTACAGTGCACGATGCTTCACCTGCGGCCGTGGATGCGTGCGGCGCGCCGCGCGTACAGCGTCAAGGCGACGGGCTACACAGCGATGGGCTCGTTCCATACGCCAAGCATCGACGACATCTTTGAGCAAGGCGCCATCGAGCTGCCCGTGGCCATGGACCACACTGGCGCCCCGACTGCGTTTGGTACGCCGATGCGCCAGCACTTCTTTCTCGACCCAACGTGGACGTTTATCAACCACGGCGCCTTTGGTGCGTCGCTACGGACAGGTATGGCGGCCGCGCAGCAGTGGCGGGAGCTCGCGGAGCGCCAGCCGCTCAAGTTTTATGATCGGGAGCTCTTCTTCTACCTCGTCCACGCGATCCAAGCCCTCGCCGCCACGTTGCACGCGTCCCCCAAAGACGTCGTTTTGCTGCCCAACGCTACTTCGGGTCTCAATGCGGTATACGTATCAGACACGCTTTCTCTCGACTTCAACGGCCACGAATAGGTAATTCAGTCGATGGCAGCGACCATGCAGCCAGGCGACTCGATCTACAGCTTGGACGTGGCGTACGGTGCTGTCAAGAAGCTTCTGCATCAAGTGTGCGCCGAGCGAAAGCTCGTCCAGTCATCCCACGCCTTGAGCTTTGGCGACGCCCACGACGACGACGCGATCGTCGCACGTATCGCCGAGACGCTGCCGACGTCCGGCTGCCGGTACGATTCGATGACGCTCCTCAGCATGAATACAAGGCGCCTGTTGTAGGCTCGTCGTTATGGACCACATAACGTCCAACACGGCGACCGTACTGCCGGTTCAGCGCATCACGGAGCTCTGTCACGCGCGTGGCATCCCCGTGCTCATTGACGGTGCCCACGGCCTCTTGAACCTCCCGCTCGACTTGAGTGCCATTGGCGCCGACTTCTATGTACTTGGCCATCTCGGCCACGTCATGTGATCACATGTGGTCTATTCTAGGTCGGCAACTGCCACAAATGGCTCAGCGCGCCCAAAGGCGCTGCCTTTCTGCACGTCGCGCCGCACTACCAGTCCATCGTGCGGCCCCAAGTGCAGTCGCATGGCATGGACGACGGCTTCCAAAGCACGTTTCTATGGACGGGCCTCCAGGACTACGCGTCGCTCCTCGCTCTTCCCGCCTGTCTCTCGTTCTGGGAGGCGCACAACCTCGACGCTGTCCGCGCCTACATGCATGCGACAGTCGCTGACGCGGCATCGGAGCTCACGCGGCACTGGCAGCTCCCACCGGTAGCCCACCGTAGCCGACTCGTCTCAGAAACGCGTCTCTGTAGGCGACCAATGTCCCGTCCCACAAGCAGTGCAGTATGCGCCTCGTGGCGCTGCCGCCGCGCGTCTTTGGCACGTCGTCGACGCCGACGTCGGTCGACGCCAAGCTCGTGCAAGACTCGCTGCACTTTCTACATGCAATCGAAGTGCCCGTCAAGTGCATCGAAGGACAGCTGTACGTTCGGCTGTCGGGCCACGTATACAACACCCCGAGCGACTACGCCCGGCTCGCAGACGTGGTGCGATCCGCCTCGGAGAACGTGTAGAGTGCCCATGTGAAAGACCATATTTGGTCTTTCGAAATATACGAAACTGTGGTATCTATGCCTGCTTCTCAGCGTCCTCGCTTACTTGCCCGCAATCGCGCGCACGAGCGTGTGGGGCAAGCTGAGCGTGCCGTCGTTGATGATGACGACGTCAAAGATACCGAGGTACTCGGCGAGGCGTTCTTCTTGGCTGTGGTTGAGGAATCCGATTTTGATGATGTTGTGCACGGGCAGCCCCGTCGCCATTTGGGCATCGCCGACCTAGCCCATGAAATATTGTCATTCGAAACAGAGGCACTATGTATGGTACGTGTACCGAGTCGCCGAGCAAAATGACATTGTGGCGTGCTTCGCATTCCTTCCAGAACGGGCTGTCACGCAGCACAGTCGCATTCTTGTTGTGGCAGTGGATCAGCTATCCAATGGCGTCCATTATAATACATAGTCGTGGGAAATGGCAAAAGTACCGGGTCGTGGAACCCGAGGAGCTTCCCACTGGACGCTTCAAACTGCATCACGTTTGAGACAATGTGGAGGTTGGGCGTAAAGATGGCGTCCTTGTAGATTTTTTGCAGCACATTGTGAATCACATCTACGATTCGAAACAAATTCACAGCATTTTTCACAAATTTTGCGTTTTGGACTTTTGGACGTACCGGCGAGACCCGCCGAGAAGATGAGCGTGGGCACGTTATGAGCAGCGAGGTCACGGAAGAGCGCAGTAAAGCCATCGCGAAACGCAATGTCGGATTTGGCGACCGCGGCCTGCACGTGGTGGCGGTGCATCTTGTGGTCCACAAAAAGTTGGTGCTCCGTCGTCCACCTAGTTGTACGCGTCATGTTTCACGGTTTTAGACAAAAATATTGTCTGTGACGCCCATAGCAATACCTACCATTCAATCATGTGCGGCTCCTTCTCGTCGTGGGCAAGGATCGGTGAAATCTCAATCGGATAAAACTTTTGAAACAGAGCATTCGACTTGGCGAAAAATTCTGGATCGAGCACGTGACTCGAGGCCTACAGAGTTGGTCGACAACCGTCGCGATTTGCGATATCCATGTACCAGCATGCCGTGGCACGAATGGCCGCGGCTGCCGTCCTTGTTGAAGTACGGCGTCAGCGTAAAGTCAAAGTCGGCAATCAAGAGCAGCTTCTCGGGGCCGTCCTGCACCATCTTGTGCAGCTTGGTCGCAAACACATCTACAGATTTTGTTATGAAAATCACAGGCGTTGTGGTGTGTACCAGGGTTGGCAATGATCGCGCGCGGGTGACGGGCCTCGTTGTTGAGGCCGTTGGCTCGCGTTTGGCTCGAGGCAGCCGTGGCGAGGCCCAGCGCAGAGGCCACGCCCACCGAGGCAGCGCGGGACGACGTCAAGAGCGACCGGAACATGGTGCGTGGCAGGGTGCGTGGTTGAAGTCGGGGTTTATGGCACAATTTTTGTGGTGTATCCGGATAGGTCGATTGGTATCCGGCAAACGTGGGTGGTCGACGCTGCTACGGCCAACGAGAAAGCCTTCGGCGACACGAGGCACAATTGATTACGCCGATGGTCCGATTGGGCGTCATCGTCGTCACTGCGCAGGTCAACTTGTCAACTTGTCCATCACAAGATGTGTGCAAGGTCTGCGCTTGGACATTATTATCCGGATGAGTTCCCGCCAAGTTGCACTTGGCGCGTCACGAGGGAACCATGTTTGCTGATGGAAGAAGTTCAGAAGACAAATTACGACGTTGTAGCTTGCGTCATTTCGTTTTGTGATCACCAGCATGGGCAAGCGCAAGGCAACGACGGACGACGTACCGGCAATGACGACGACCAAGAAGGCCAAGGGAGCGTCGCCCGACTGGCAGGTCGCCTTTCTGCGCGCAGTCAACGTTGGTGGGCGCGTCGTCAAGATGGCAGCGATCGCGGCGCACTTTCGGGCCATGGGCTTTCACGATGTCTCGACGTTCCTCGCGTCCGGAAACGTGCTCTTCGATGCGAATGGTGCGCCCTCCGAGGACCTCGAAGGCCGTATTGAGAGCTACTTGAGCGACCACGTTGGGTTTGAGATTCCCGTCATGGTGCGGTCCAAGGCCCAGCTCGACGAGCTTGTGGCATACGTCGATGCGCACGCGCCGCCCGCCGCCTCGACGATCCATGCCATGTTTGGAAAAGCGACCTTCTCGGACGACCATGTGGCGCTGGCGACGACGTGGGCGACCGCCACCGACAGCTTTGCGCTAGGAACCGCCGACACGCTCGTGTGGTTTGCAGAGACGACGATGAGCAAGTCGCCGTGCTTCAACAAGCCGTTTGAGAAGCTCGTGGGGACGGCGCTGACGCTGCGCAACATGAACACGGTCCGCCGCGTGCTCGCCAAGCTCGTCTAGACCACAAGTGTCAGCGAAGAACCCGAGCTGGCGCCTTACGGTGGTCTGTGATGTCCTGTTTTGAGCACGAAATAGAACGAGCAAAAGATGCAAGTCTCGACAACCATTGCTACTCTGTTGCATAGCAGTGAAGACGCCACCAATCTGAACTTGTGAATCTTCCGAGGAGAGCTACATGCACATGTTTGGTGGACGAGGGATGTAGACTACCAAGTATTCTAGTTGCTAGTAGTAACTAGTAATAGAGCGTCTGGTTGTCCAGTGCCACGCTGGTCGAGGCAAGGGTGCGTTGCCCGATTCGAGGCTCCGCACTGGTGGTATTTTCTTGACGGTGGAAAGGGCGCCGACCAGACGCGCTTACTTGGGCATGTGCCCGATTCCACATCCTACTTGAGCCGGAACGAGCCAATCCGGTGGGTGCGGGATCCGAATTCAGCGCCAACGAGGATCGGACCGGGTGCTACATTTCGAAGTTTGCGCATCCTCTTCGAATACCAAGCTCCGTATTTGTATCGAGGTCGAAGGCAGAATCGAAGTTCAACTGACGGCGACAGCGAACCAGATCCAGAAAGGCCACAAGGCAAATTAAAATGTGGTCTGCACCCAGTTGCCATTCTTTCCTCGACCGTCCCGGAGCCGCCGAGACGATGAACCAACGCGCGCCAGCGTCTGCCAAGCCGCCACGCGTCTCGGTGGGCGTGCCCAACTGGGCGAAATCTGACGTTGACATTCTCCTCTCGCTCGTCAGCGAAATGCTGCCGCTGACGCAGCAGCAATGGCAGCGCCTATCCCAGATCTACAACAAACACCCCGACCGCCTCCACGAACGCGACTGGGAAGCGGTGAAGCGCAAGTTCAACAAGCTCCGCAGCACGGGACGCACCGGCGACCCCGACTGCCCCGAAGATGCCCGCTGGGCGCGTGACCTCCAGCACGAGATCGAGCTCAAGGGCGACAAAAACTACCACGAAGACGACGACGCAGGCTCGTCCCGCGGCGATAGCTCCATGCGCGACGACGACGAGGCGGCGGCGGTCGACCATGCGCACGAGCGACGTGAGTTGCACAATGACGGCGACGCACAGAGCATTGCGCGCGTCGTGCATCCGGCCACCGAGCCCGACGCGCCCGAGCTGCCACGCACGTCGCGTGTCGCTGTCCTCGAGCCGTCCGAGCGGTCTTTCGTCGAGCCTGTGCGCCGCGTGCGCAAGCGCGCCTACGACGAGTCGGTCGCCGCCGCCACCTCGGACGTTGACGGCGGTAACCCCTTCAAGCGCCCATCACCGGCGATGGACACCGAGACGCTGCAACGAGGCGGCCTCTCGACCGAGCTTGTGACGCTGCTCATGCTCATGGACGAGCGGTCGCAGCTGCGCATGGAGCAACGCGAAGAACGCGAAGACGCCCGGCGGCGCGAGCGCGAAGAGCGAGACGAAGCCCGTCGGCTCGCTCTGGAAGAACGGTACTTGATGGAGCAGCGGATCCGCGACGAGCAGCGCCGAAAAGATGAAATGCGCCATGAACGGACCGAGCGTCTCCAGATGCTGCTCTTCTCCAAGCTCCTTGGCGTCGACGTGAGCAAACTAAACGAGGACCCACCTACTAACTAATCCACTTGCGCCTTGCACGCGATACGACAAATGATTGGCCTCGACCTACATACAATCCATGAGGTGCTTGCCATTCGATCGATGCCAGCTACAGGTCAGGTGCTAGCGTCCATGCGACTACCTCAACCGCGACCACCTTGCACTCGGCATAACTTGATGGCCTCATCAAGACATAGGCTTCATCGCGAGGCGCTAAAGCTCTTACATCGGTGTGGGCGACGGGCTACGTAATGTACATATGTACAGGCACAGACGGGACCATGCGCCAGCACCTAGGTAGAAACGACCCTTCATCCAGCGCACTTTTGCATCATAGCCCACTGTCGCCATGCCACAGCTTCTCGCTAGTACGCATAGCGACCCACAGCCAGAACTCTACTTCGGTAGGAGTTCGACTTGACGATAGCTCTCAACCCTACCGGTACCATCCTGCTTTGGATCGTGGTCAGGCAAGCCGCGTCAAGATCTGCGCATCTTGCGGTCTGGCCAATGGCCTTGCGAGATTATCCGGATGACCCAGACCCCGTGTTTGGTGTTTCTGATTGTTAGTATGGTCGCTCTGCCGTTATCCGGATAACCAGGTCGGCTTGTTCGAAGCTGACGACACGATGAGCGGCCGGTCCCACGAGACGACAACGCTCGCCCGCAGCAGCAGCATGCCGGAGGACCGCTCGCGGCTTCTCGCCGCGCCGCTTCCGCCACATGAAGAGGCGCAGGCCGTGCGCATGAATGTGCTCAACAGCAGTGTGCAAGAGGCGCGCGAGGCGACGAGCACGCGGCTCATGGTCATCGCGCTCGCGGTCTTCAACTTGCCGCAGGTAATCGCAGCGTGCATTGTCATGGGCCTCTACTGGGACGATGCGGGCAACACGCGCTGCGACCGCGTCAAGTACTGGACGCTCTTGCACGCGATGCACCTCTTCTTCACGGTCCTCGTCGAGTGGGCCGTCTACTACACGCATCAGCCGACGATTCACAGCCGGCTGTCGACGCCCGGCATCAAGTCGGCGTTGCAGTCGGCCAAGTACGGCATGGAGCTCATGGGACTCTTCTGGTTCCTCGTCGGCAACATGTGGGTCATCTCGGACGAAGACCACTGCAGCACGCAAGGCGACGGGCACATGTACAACATGGCGCTGGCCATGATCATCATTTGCTACGTCAAGATCTTCTTGCCGTGTCTCATCCTCATGGCACTCTTGCCGGTCGTGTGCTTTTGCCTTCCATGCTTGATCCGCATCCTCAACCGCATGCAAGATCCAATGCGTGGCAAGGGCGCGTCCAAGGAGGTCCATGACTGCTCCTCTTGCACGTCTATTCAATGCTGTGTGCTAGATGATTGCCGCTCTCTCGAGCGTGCCGTACACCCCACACCTCTTTCCGGACGAGGTACACTACGAGTGTATCAAGTTGATATTTAGATGGATCGGGTAGGATGCGAGCTGCTGCATTTGTCTCAACGAGTACGACGAGTCGCAACACGTGCGTATTCTGCACTGCAACCACCATTTTCACAAAGAGTGCGTCGATGAATGGCTGCTCGTCAATGCGACGTGCCCGACCTGTCGGACGTCGATCGACCCCAACCACGTCGAGCCCGCAGCGTCGTCGGGCCGCGACCCGGGTCTCGTCGTGTAGGAGTACAGTACCGTAGGAGTAGACACGAACGTTCTCGCCACCAATCCCTAAACTGCGAAAGAACTAACACGGTCCGTTTTGTATACTTGAAACATTGATACATTTCAAGCAAGGGCAATGTCAAAGCAGGTTGTGTACTCTTCGCCAACCCCGTAGACCTTGTCGAAGACCCAGTGCCACACCAACGAGAGCACGTGCGTGCTGTTACTGTTGTTGCTGGCGTTCATCGGTGGCAGCTGGAACGACCCGATGCACGGCCGCCCTTGACGGGCGCGCGGGCGGCCGTACTTGGACGTCTCGCCACAGAGCCCATCGTCAAAGAGGCCTCGCCCAAGCTCCACCAAGCGCGTAGTGTTGGTCTTGCGACCGAGAGGCAGCGCACGCGTCGTATCGTTTCGGGTCGTGATGCTCGTGTCGCTTGAGACGTCCCAGTAGATGTACCACGGGGTGTTCTTTGCGTAGATGCCGTCGCAGCCGCGCGGATCGTTGGGCTGGCACTTGTCCTTGGTCACGTGCCCGTTCTCGTTGTAGTAGAACGTGACGGTGTCGCCGGGCGCACACACGAGGCGCGGGTGCGACGCTCGCTGCAGCGGCGCTCGCTGTGTCGGCGCGCAGAGCGGCTGCGAGGCATTCCGGTTCTCAAGGCGGTACGTCATGAAGCGGTCAAAGATAAGGCCGTCACGCAGCAAGGCGTCCCGTGAAGAGAAATTGCGCGCGTACCCGACCTTGTCGCCGCACGTGATCGCGTCGAGCCAGGAATGGGCGCCGACGTGCAGCCAAAACGACGAGACGAGGAGGAGGATCGAAGTGCGCATGCCGAGTCGAATGTCCGAATGTAGAACTGGTCGTCACTGTCCGAGTAAAATCGAATTTGAGCTTTTACAGTACACAGCAAAAGCATCCTCGGTCACGCGTGCTGGCTCGACGACGTTTTGGCCGGGTATTCTCGGAAGTTGAGCCACTGCCTTGCTACAGGTCGCAACCCCCCCAAGCCATGGCCACCGGGCCAGCTGGGTACGAATGCATATACTAGTATACAACATCAAGTTATGCATTCACCTGTCGTAGGAGCCGGCGTTGATCGGGCCCGTCGGCAAGTGACTCGACATACCTCTGGACGACAGTTGGGATCTTATTGTGCATCTCGTAGAGGCTGAGCCGCAGTGCGTCCACGTATGACATTCTGGACACACCAGACTTCACCCACCAATGTGGCACTGGCTGCGCTGCTCAAACTGCGTATTTTCTCGAAAAATGTCAAGTTGAATGAAAAATTGCCTCCTGCTTTGCTACTGGCGCGGGTATGAGCTTGCAATTGAGTATGACATTCGAAGTAGCCACGATTCCTACTACTAGTGCTCACTCTAGTGCCTGTATTGGTCTATTGGGGGTAGGGTTGACGAACCACCTCGGGCTCGAAGCGATGGTCTGCCGACCAAAGCATGGCGCGGTGGGGAGTCTTGGGCGATAGTGCAGAAGTGTCATAGAGGTTGAGTGTTGCCAGTGAAGTATGTAGACAGCATTAGGAAGTATGCAAACACTCTGTACTAAAGACGCAGAGAAAACACAATGGATCGAAGACAAGGTGTCTCGTTTGCAGCTTCTCTAAAATTCCTGCAACAGCAAAGTCGCGTACTCCCGGCACTCGGGGCTCTCGTCCGTGAGGAGCTGTTCCACGATCACGTCGCCTTCCCCACGCTTGACGCGGTCAATGTTGTCGGCATGCGCGACAGCACTGCTGTACAAGGCCAAAATGGCGTTCCGGCGCAGATCCTAGAGTTCGCCTCAGTCACCACCGCTAGCCGCTCATTCTGTCTCAAGTAGTACGTCGTTTGGGGACACCAAGTGATGGAGGAGCATGCCAATGCCGCCCGCGTCACCGACCAGATCCTAGAACACAGCGCACCCTGAGCTCGATATTCGCACAAGTAATGCGTCTACCTGGTTGAGCGTGTTGCGGTGCACGCCGTGGCTGATGGCCCAAGCTGAGCACTCGTTCGTCTACGAGTAATTCTATATGAAGAGGCTTGCGAGTTGCAGCGTACGTCTTCCGAGTACGCTGGCGACAAGAGCAAAATCAAGCTCGGGAGACCATCGACCTAGCATCCCATGGAACGTTCAGGACGTCATGAGTAAAAGCACACACCTCGCGCAGCATATTTTGCGCGTGCACGTCGCGGCCCGAGAGCAGGTTGCCCATGGTAAAGGCGGCCGCGCCCCGCACCGGTTCGCCTGTTATATATTTATGTCGACCATCGAATCGATGAATATAAACCGCGTACCTCGGCCAGCTTGCGTGAACTCCGAGAGCTGTTCGATGCAGTTGGTCTCGTTGATGAGCACGTGGCGGGCGTTGGCGGATGCGGCGGCGTTGCCTACATCGGACGTGAGATTTCGAGCTCAAAATATAGGCGGCACAGACCAATGTACCCCAGTACGGCTCGCTGGATGCCTTCGTGCTCGATCGTCTCGAGGGACTTGATGACTTGCTGCAACACGGGCTCGTCGAGAGCGAGCTGGTGCGTCGTGAGGTTGGAGAGTGCGAGTGTGGCCGCCGCCTGCATGCGAATGTCACTGTGGTCGAGCTGCTCCGCAACCGTTAGCGCCAACTGCGCCGGGTCGAGTGTCTCTGCTGGGTGCAGGTCGAGGTCGCTGTTGCTGCAGAGCTTGGCGAGCGCCAAGAAGGAGGGCACACGGAGTGGCAGCTCCGTCTTGGCATCGCGCACGAGGTCGACCAGCGCCGGGGCCAGCGCCGTCTCAATGTACTCGGACTGCACGAGCCGCTGGACGGCCTTGAGAGCAGGCGCGCCGCCTACAGAGTCGCGTCAGCGCTGGCGCAAGCCCATCCATGGACCTTGACGCAGCTCGTTCGCAATCGCAAGCATCGGCTTCCAGGGACGAAATTGCACTGTTTACGCCAATCAAAATGCCGGCCGACATTTTAGCCAATCAGCGTGAGGTTGCTTCCATCATCAAACGAGCCAAGGTCCAGGGTCAGGGTTGGCGACCTACTAGACGAGAGTTGCCGAACATGCAAGCGTATTTTAGTAGCTATTTAGTACTACCCCAGTACGTTGGTCCCAACAGCGAAAACGTTCGTCAACGTCGCTGCCCTGTACGTTGTAGCTTCGACACACAAGTACAGTCGAGCGAGAGCGGAAAGAGAGCAAGAGCAGTTGGGTGCGATTAGACGGTTGGCGGCGCCATGGCAAACCAAAAGGTACTTATCGGTCGTTTTTGAAGTCTGCAAATTGCGAAATGGTTTATCGCGCAACGTACGTGGCAGTGTTGTGCGTTTGGGAGACAAGATTTCGACTTGGGCTGGCGACATGGCCGACGTCATCAAGCGCGTTGACCCGAGAGTCGCCGCCTTCCATGATATGGACGTCGTCCTTGGCGCTTGGAAAACGGAGTTGGTGCAGGCCATGCACGGCGACACGGCCGACGACGACGCGGCCAGCTCGACGCGCCACAGCGATAGTGCGTCCGGCCAACCCGAGTTGCAGTGCCAGCGAGACGTTGCGGCCACGCGCCTGAAGACGGCGAAGCGCACTGCCACGATTCGACGCGGTCACATCCTCGACATGGCCAAGCTCCGGCGCGCTGCCAACGACGACAAGGCGGCGCTCGTCGACGCGTACACTGCGACCGACACTGGGCTGCGCAATGTAATCGAGGCCGTCACAGCAAGATCCGCGGCCGCTGAGGCCCACGTCGTCGAGCTCACGACCAAGTGCGACGGCCTCACGGCCGCGAACAGCCTTCTGGAAGCGCAGCTGGTCGGGTTGCAGTCGACCGCGGACGAGCACCAAGTGGAAGTCCGCTGCTTGGAGAACCTATTGCACGCATCCGAGCTGCACGTGCTCGACCTCTCCTCGCGCGAGGCAAGTGCAGTCGACGTCAGCACGGTGTTGCAGTCCAAGATCGATAAGCTCGCGGCGAATCTCCGCACCGCGGTGACCGAGTCCTACGAGTGCAAGCAGCGCCATGACGAGCTCGCGCGCATGAACCAGGGTCTCGTCAACGCCGACACGCAGCAAAAGAGCGACCTGGTCGCGCTGCAAGTCCGTCTCAAGGTCGCGACTGCGTCGGTGCAAGCCAGTGCCCAAGAGCTGCATGCGCTCGCCGTCAAGAAGGACGCTGTGATCGCACGCCTGCGGGACGAGCTTGCGGCGGCCAAGACGGACGCTGAGCGGGCCATTGCGGAAGCCGTTCGCACGCGCCAGGACGCCCTCGATGCTGCGTCAATGGAGCAGGAAGCGGCGCGCATGCAACTTGTCGACGACGTTGCAGCCGCAGACGCCAGTACGAACCTTCCCAACCTCTTGTTTGTCGATGGTGACGACTTTGCGGCAGACTTGCAGCGACTTGAAGACGACCTCGCAGCGTCCAAGGCTGAGCTTGCTGAGGCAGCGACCGCTGCGGCCTCCAGCCAGGCGACGATCGAGGCGCTGTCAGCGGACAAGCTCCGGCTTATCGCGACGGTCCAAGAGCAGAAAGCCGGACTCGCTGCAATGTCGTTGCAGCTACGCAGTGCCGTGGCGCGTACGGACGCCAGTACGCAGCAGATTGAGTCGCTCCTCGGTGAGAAGAGCCACCTCACGTCGGTTGTTCAGCAGCGCGACGCTGCGATCGCTGTGTTCAAGGCCGAGATCACCGAAGCGGCGACCGCTGCAGCCTTCAGCCAGGCGACGATCGAGGCGCTGTCAGCGGACAATCTCCAGCTTATCGCGACGGTCCAAGAGCAGAAAGCCGGACTCGCTGCAATGACGTTGCAGCTTGAGAAAGCCGTGGTGTGCATGAACGCCAGCTCGCACCAGATCGAGTCTCTTCTTTGCGAGTCAAGCTGCCTCGCGTCGGAGATCGAGCAGCAGAAGACCGCGATGGCTGCAGCCAAGGCTGC